TTCATCCCAAATTGTATAGCTAAAGGTCTGTAGAGATTCTCAGTCCTCCAGGTCACGGTTGTCCCAAAGGTGCTTTTTCAGGAGGCGACTGGACTTTCTTGTTTTTTCTTCTGAAGACATTTTGCTTCTCATTCAAGAAGCTTCTCAGCCATACAATTTGGGATGAACCCCCTTCAAATGGTGCGGGAGCATGAAAAGATTTCCAGAGGAAAAAATGGCACAGGAACCATTTGCACCACTCAGGTGACCCTGAGGACACAAATAAGCCTCCAGGGGCCCTCAGGGACCCTCTAAAAGGATGCAAAGAGCCAGCTGTCTGCAAGGAATATCAACCCTTCCCTTCCCCACCATCCAGTCAGAGCTGAAGAAGCTTCTTGGATGAGAAGCGAAACGTCTTCAAAACAGAAACCAAGGAAGTCCAGTTGCCTCCTGAAAAAAGCACCTTTGGGACAACCGTGACGTAGAGGACTGAGAATCTCTACAGACTTTTAGCTATACAATTTGGGATGAAGACCCTTGGAATGGTGGGGAAGTAGGAACGGATCTCCAGAAAGAAAGAAATAACCGCCGACTACAAGAACCATTTGCACCACTCAGGTGACCCTGAGGACCAATGATGGGTTCCTACCGGTTTGGACCAGTTCGGCCGAACCAGTAGTAGTTTGGTGGCCTGGGTCACTGGAACCAGCAGCAACCCAGACCTATGCCTCGTTCTCCCTACAGAACAGCCCCCAAACCAGTTCTCCCGTAGGTGCCGCCATCTTGTTTTTTGCTTCCGCGCATGTACAAAAGCATTTTTATAGTATTGCACATGCGCAAACAGTGCACATTAAGTGCACATGCTGCATGACCATGAGAGAAACGGCAGTAGCGGCTGCCAGAACCCACCCCTGCTGAGGACACAAATAAACCTCCAAGTGGCATCAAAGACACTGTAAAACAGGAGTGTCAAACTGGATTTATTTGAGGGGCAAATCAGCATTGTAGTTCTCTGTGAACTGGCAGGGTTGGGGGTGGGGATCGGGGACAGATGCCTCCTGCAGCACCCTGCCGGCCAAAACAGGGTGCAGGGTGTCCGCACCCCACACACACACACTTCATTTTTACCCTGCCTGGCCTCCTGCAGCACTCTGCCAGCCGTTTCCAGCCCTTTTTTGGCTGGCAAGGTGCTGCAGGAGGCCACGCAGGGCGGAAACAAGGCACAAGGCACACCCATGGCAGATCTGACACTAGCAGAGTTCATAAATTGGGCACATCTGCCCTAGTGGAGAAGGTAACCATAAGCAAAGATGACCCAGGGGGCGGCTCTTATAGGTCAGAGGAGCAGGACTTTCCTGTGCTCAAAGGCCACATCTCTTTCCTTTTTTTAAAAAAAGCTGCCCATTTGGGAGGAAAAATGCATGCTCTGAGTCTGTAATTTTTCACTTTAATAGGACCCAAATGGGGAAAATCACCCCACTTCTAAGAATTGCTTTTGAATCGGGGAATTACTTACTTGGCTCTTGAAAAACCCAGCTGCGCCACAGGGCTTAGAATTTAAAAGACATTTCAAAGTGAATGGAGTATTTTTAGCCTTGTAGGTCATTCATTCGGCTCCTTCCGCTTCTCCAAACTTCCCAGGGTTGCCCAAAAGCCCCCCTCCCCCAGGGGGCGGGCTCTGGGGAAGTTAGATACCCCCAGGGAGGTGTGGCTGCATCCTGCATTTGGTTGACCCACTGGACTCAAGGCAAACCATGGAGGAAGTGCTTGCTGGACACACAATTTGGAGGGAGACTTAAAAAGAGCTCAGGGCCAGGAATATCCAAGAGAAGGGTCATAAAAATCAAAATGGAGGCCATGATTATGACTGAAGCCCCCTCCCCTTTTCAACATACATGAGAGATGGTGCTTGTTGCAGCTGCCAGATGGATTATTATTATTTTTATATCCCGAGGATGCTTGTGCTCAGGGTTTGGCATGGAGCCAGATAGTTTTGTGGTTGGGGGCTGCCTCATTTTTTCCAGCCTCTGAGGACCCCAATGGGGAGGTAAAGCAAAGGCACTGAACAGGCAGGGCCCCAAATGTTGGTTCTCCTTTGTTTTTTGTGGGGTGTACGACAAGCTTTCTGGGGACTCACACATTTATTCTGGTGCTTATTTAAAATAAATTTTGAAAACTTGAACCAGCAAATTTTAACAATGCAATCTTTATTTATTCAAAATATGTATATAACTACCAATCATAAAATAACTCTGGGTGATTTGCAACCCATAAAATAGTGTAAAGGCAATGGTATAAAAACCCATAAAAATAAAGATACAATCCAGAGACCTACATTCCCTCTAAGGCAAAGAAACAGATGTGCAAGATAAAATGTCTTGTGGGCACCAGCTGGATTGGGCACCAATAAAACATGTCCATAATAAACTTTGCAGCTCCCAACATTTATTTAATCTTACTATCAAGTAAATTTGGGCAGCTAGAGAATTAGAAGTTACATGTTATTTGGGGGGCTGCCACAGAGATGAGGGAGTCAACCTGTTTTTCAAAGCACCTAAAGGCCAGACAAGGAAGAATGGATAGAAACTGAACAAGGAGAGATTCAACATGGAAATAAGGAGGAATTTTCTGACTGTAAGAAGAATCAATTGATGGAAAATAAGTTCCCTTCAGAAGCTGTGGGAGCTTCATCACTGGAGGCTTTCAAGAAGAGACTGGACTACCATCGGTCAGAAATGGTGTAGGGTCTCCTGCTTGGGCAGAGGGTTGGACTAGATGACCTACAAGGTCCCTTCCAACTGTTAATCTGAATATCTGAATAAGGCTGGTTTAAAAGGGGGCAGAGTAGTATAGGATTCAGTGTGTAATGGAAATCCATGGAGTTGTGGAGCGAGTTGCACCATTGCATGGAGTTGTGAGACGGTTTCATTTGAAATCCCAAAGGTTCTTTTTTCAAGAAGCAACTGGACATTCCTGGTTTTTCTCTGAAGACGTTTCGTTTCTCATCCAGCTCTTCTCCTCATTCTCTTGCACGAGAAGCGAAACGTCTTCTAAGAAAAACCAAGGAAGCCTCTTGAAAAAGCACTTTTGGGACCACCATGACCTGGAAGGACTGGGACAATTCATTTGAAGCAGAGGAGAAATGCACAATATTTCTATTCAGGCATCCACCAAAGGTGCCTACAAGTTGTGCTGTAGCTCCTGGGCATCATGTTGGAGACCCTGCCATTAAATGTGGCATTATCCCGCTGCCCTTTCCAGTAGGGCTTCTCTGAGTAATTTAAATGGAAGATTGTGGTGAGCTCCAGGTCTGCCTTTGAAGGTCTGACCTCTTTTGCCCTCTCTTCTTTCGCCAGCTGCAACCTGACCTGTCCGACTGGCCATTATGGTGCAAACTGCACTGAGCTGTGCAACTGCCATGATGACACCTGCAACCCCTTCACCGGCATGTGCCACATGGGTAAGTCCCTGGCCAACCTTTCCCCAAAGCTTCTTGCCCCAGCTGGGTGGGGGAGGGTGCAAAGTGTGCCCCCCCCCCAAGATTCAAAAGGCAGCCACAACAGCCTCCTCACTTTGTTGCAGCTGCCCTATTGCCTTTTTTTCCCAACACACTCTCAGAGTTGGGATTCAGCCGTTTCGGACTGGTTTGGGCGAACTGGATGCTAATTTTACATCTAGTTCATCAAACTGGTAGTTGGGAGGACTGGCTGGCCCTGCCCACCCCACCCTGCCCCTCCCAGAAGGCTCCATGCGGCCCATTTTGGATGCCAAGTAAGTGTAGGGTCTGCATAGAGGCTCTAGGAGGACGAAAAAGAGGCCTCTCGGAAGTCTGGAAACGAGCCAGTTTCTGGCCTCCAGAAGGCCAGCGGAGGCCGTTTTCACCCACCCGGAGGCTCGAAGAAACCCTCCAGAGTCTGGGGAGGGTGAAAAGCCCCCCCCCCGGTGGTGCAGGAGTCTGGGTAGGCCACACCCCTGTGGCCACACACACCAGCAACTGGGCAGAGAACTGGTTGCTAACATTTTTCAATCCCACCCCTGCACACTCTGCAATCACAACACACACACACACATCCCACCTTGCAAGGACAGGTGTGGTTTCCTCTGCCCACTGACTCTTGCCAACCTCTTTTCCCCAGAGGCCAATCAGCGGATGGGGCTCATTGGTGCCGGAGTCCTCCTGACGTTTCTGCTCTGCCTCGTCCTCTCGCTGTTGTCCTGCTGTTGCATTTGTCGAAAAAAGGATCAGGCACGGGAGTGAGTACCCACAGGGGATGGATGGGGGGTGGGGGAGAGTGAGTGGGAGGAGGGAAGCTGCAGAGAACCAGTCTTCCAGAAAACGACTCCTGCCTGGAAGGGATGCCAAGACGGGGGAGGAAGGATGGGCCAGGAGGCACTTCGATCTGGCCAGCTTCCTTCAGCTGCCCAATTTCCTGAGAACAGTTACTGCTATTCCTTGAATTATGAGCACAAACCAGTTAAGTGACTTTTGCCCTAGTTTACAACCGTCCTTGCCACGGTTGTTAAGTGAATCCCTGCAGTGGTTAAATTAGTAACACCGTTGTTAAGTCCATCTGGTTTCTCCATTGACCTTGTTATGAGAAGGTCGCAAAATGGGATCATAGGATGGTGGAACACTGCTGCCGTCATAAATGCAAGTCGGTTGCCAAGTGCTTGAATTTTGATGACATGAACCTGGGGATGTGGCAGCAGTCATAAGTGTGAAAAGGGGTCACAAATCACTTTTTCAGTGATGTCCAAACTTTGAATCGCCATTAAGGGAACTGTTATAGGTCTACCTGTAACCAATGGAAGAACTTGTGTCCCGTAGTTGTAGGTGTTCCATCACTGGAGGTTTTCAAGGAAAGTTTGGACAACTATTTGTCCAGAAGGTTTGAACTTCAATACCCAGAATTCCTCTTGCGGGCTGGGGAATTCTGGGTATTGAAGTCCAAACGTCTTAACTTTAAGATGGGCAAGGCTGGAAAATCCTGCCTTATTCCATCCATAGCTGTAGATGCCACTTTCCCCTGCCTTCGGATTACAGCCACCCACCCACCCCCACCCCTTCCCTATCACCTTATACAGGTAGGATAGGTGAGATGCAGGGAAATCTAAGACAAAAGGAGCAAATTATAAAGATGCAATGCAATATGACCCCTATTGAGGGCTGTGTTGGTGCAGTGGTTAGAATACAATTACAATTTCTGCCAACTGCCAGCAGTTTCATCCTGGCCCAGCCTTCCATCCTTCCGAGGTGGGTAAAATGAGGACTCAGATTGTTGGGGGCAAGAGGCTGACTCTATAAACCACTTGGAGAGGGCTGGAAAGCATCATGAAGCGGTATAGAAGTCTAAGTGATATTGCTATCCATGTGGCAACTTTTGACTGTGGTCTCACCGGGTTGTCTGGCTTCCTTCACAGCATTCGCCAGGACTTGGCTCATAAAAAATCTTCAAGGCGCCTTTGTGGACAGTTCAGCCAAATCAGCTTGAAGCTGCCCCGGATCCCCCTTCGCCGTCAGAAGTTGCCAAAAGTTGTAGGTAAGGATCCACTCCACGGTCTTGGCCACTGTTCCCTCTGGCTAATGGACTTGAAACTGGAAAGGGGGGGGGGGCACAGATGCCAGGAGAAAGATTTTGGCCACACAGTCGTCACTGCTAGATTGAGAATAGAATAGGAGTGGGAGTGGGAGTGGGAGTGGGAGTGGGAGTAGAATAGAATAGGAATAGGAATAGGAATAGGAATAGGAATAGGAATAGGAATAGGAATAGGAATAGGAATAGGAATAGGAATAGGAATAGGAATAGGAATANGACTAGCCATGCCCAGTTCCTGCAACCGTTCTTCATGTTTTAGTCTCCAGACCTTTGATCATCTTAGATAGATTCAGATTAATAGAGGTGAAAGAGACCTTGAAGGTCATGTAATCCAACCCCCATGCCTGAGCATTTCTGACAGATGACAGTCCAGTCTCTTCTTGAAAGCCTACAGTGATGAAGCTCCCACAATGTCCAAAGGCAACTTCTGTTCCATGGGTTGAATATTCTCACAGTCAGAAAATTCCTCCTTATTTCCAGGTTGAATCTCTCATTGTTCAGTTTCCATCCATTATTCCTTGTCTGGCCTTCAGGTGCTTTGGGAAATAGCTTGACCTCTTCCTCTCTAGGGCAGCCCCTGAAATATTGGAAGACTGCTATCCTGTCTCCCCTGGTCCTTCTCTTCCCTAGACTAGCCATGCCCAGCTCCTGCAACCTTAAATTGCCACGTTTGAGAAACACCATCCTGAAGAAAAGTGATTGTGCAAGTATAAAAAAACCACATCCGCACAATGAAATTACAAGCTTTAGGATAGTCCAGTGGGGATCTCAAGGTTAACTGGCTCCAGGATCTATGAAGAAGACAAGAAGCAGCTTCTGAATTTAGTTCAGAGATGGGTCCCCACATCCCCAAAACCTCCTTGTAGTTCTTGAAGCCATCTTGGTCTACAATTGCTGAAAATTGTCAGTTCCTGTGGTTGAAAGAATGGTAGAATCGGTATCTCTGTTCCCTATAAAACAGCAAAACAGTCCTAGATATTGTTACCAGATTAGAGGATATGAAAATTGTCCTTTCATTGTCCCTTGGACATCATTAATCATCTATAATCAAGCCCCAAAGCTGGAATATGTTTCGTCCTTTCTCCCTCCCTTCTTCCTTCCTGCTTTTTCTTTCATCCTTCCTTCCTTTTTTTCGGTTTCCTTCCTTCCTCTTGCACAGCTTTTGCTGAGTTCCAGGCACCTCTGCATAACACTTTTGGCACATTTGTAAACAAGGTTGGGCGGGGGAGGGAGGGAGAGAGAGAGACATCTGGATTTTCTTCCTTGAGATGTGTTGTGGCATGCGTTGCTCTGGTCAAAGGATGAAAGGACTTTGACGCAGATGGGAAGCCCTGGGACATGCTAAAAATAGGTTTGGTGGGGAATTTTTCCTTTTGGCTTCTGATGGATGCGTGTAGTCTTCCCAGTCAGTTCGAGGGTTTGCCTGGGTTTGTTGGTGCCATCAGAAAAGCTGAAGGTTGGCTTAGGCAGCGTTTCTCCATCTTGGCAGCTTTAAGATGGGTGGACTTCAACTCCCAGAATTCCCCAGCCACATTCAAGTTGCCAAGACTGAGAAATGCTGGTTTAGGATTCTAGGCTACCCATCATCAATCACAATGAACATTTATTGGGTGGGGTGGGGGGGTGAGTTAAAGAGTGTTCCAGCCGGGAGTGGTGCGGTGGCCTAGAGGTGGAGCTTTCGCCTCATAATCAGGAGGCTGTGAGTTTGATCCTCGGTAGAGGCAAATATTTCTCTCTCTCGGCATGATGAGAATATATCTGCTGAAAAAAACTCCACATTGGTGACAGGAAGGGCATCCGGCCATTAAAATACTCTCTAGCTCCATTCAGTTGCCCAGACTCCACCCTGCAAGGGAATATGGGGTTGTGAAATGAAGACGATGAAGGTGATGAAAGAGGCCCCTCCCCACAAGATGATTTTCATAGCCCATCACAGGTTGGCAGTGTGAGTCTGCCTACAGCACCTCCTGAGCCGGTCTGCAGGACATGGCATCCAAATACACTCTTGGGGGGGGGGGGGAGCATAAAGATTGCTGAGCCTTTAAGAACTCGTTGTCCTTGCCTGAAACCATCAACCTGCAAAAATATTAAAATGCAAAATTCTGCAGAACTGCAAGCTCTCAAAAGGGTCTTCCAATTGAAAACAGCAGGGCAGGCAGGAAATACGTTCCTTTGTGAGCCGGCCAGCTTGCAGCTGCTGTGAGGAGCCAGGAAGCCTCTGGGCCAAACCAGCACATGGCCCTGAGGAAGGCAGGATCCGAGCCAAGGAAAAAACTCTGGAGGTCCAAGAGGCATCAGCATTCCTGGGAGAATTGGATGGCCAAAGGGCAGCCTTTGCAGGCCAAGCCTCTTCCCCTGGCTGCTCCTTGAGGGTGAGCCCCCTCCAGCCAGTCTGGACCAGGGCTCCTTTCTTCAGGGTTAGCTCACTCGGCTGGTGGGAGGAGGAACGGATTTCCAGAGGGAAAAAATTGCAGCCTACAGGAACCATTTGCACCACTCAGGTGACCCCGAGGACACAGACAAACCTCCAAGTGGCCTCAACAACCCTTTAAAAGGATGCAAATGACCAGCTGCCTGCAAGGAATATAAATCCTTCCATTCCCCACCATCTGGTCAAGGTTCAAGGTTCAAGGTTCAAGGTTCATTTTATTTATATGCCGCCCTATTCCCAGCAGGACTCAGGGCGGTGCACAAACCCAA